ACGTGAAACCCTTGGTTCTAAGGCCCTGCCCTTTCCCACCACCTCATTCTTGTCCACTTCCCTTTGGATTGGTTCTTTAAGAGTTTGGCTGGAATCCTAAATGTAGCCATCCTGACATGATATGCTGATCAGGTTGAGCACAGAAGGAGTGGGGGAGTTTAGGGGAAATTTTCTTTAACTTCAATAATTAATAAAAAAACCAAAGCCCTATAGGAAAGACATCTGGAATCTAAAATCAGTAATAAGAATGTGTTTATTCCTCTGATATTCTTCTTCAACATGTAGAAGAACATCATGCCTGTCCTATGAGGGGGCAACCCCCTTGGGTCTTAGCCTCACTCTGAATCATATCTAGTTCTTATTGGAGGTGAGCAGGGCCATTCCCAGCAGTTAAAAGAGAATGGTGTGATGACATGATATTTACACATACATATGAGGCATTTGAGTCTGTTATTGTAACATAATTTCCCTGAGCCCCATAATTCTCTAAAGTCATGACAAAATCAGAACTCAGGTGTAAAAGGCCAGCACTTGTCTCTAGCAGATATCACTAGACCTTGGGATTAAGCATTGTGGCTAAAGAGAAATCCCTGTCTCAGTTATCTCTGCATACCTATTAGGTTGGGGTTCTAGTCAGAGTTTCAAGATGTTTCATGAAATAAGACACAATTTTTAGAAAAAAACCTGTTAGTAAATGAGACCTAGGTTTTTTTTTATTAGAGTGGGGAATGTGGTATTTCCAGTTGGCCTCTGTAGTAAAATATATTAGGGAGAGAATAATATCTATAGAACAGATGGTATCTGTGAACTTTGCAGAGTTAGGGTATCTACTAGAACACTCTTCAGTTTTCACTTGTGCTCTAATCATTTTCCAGCCACCACCACCAACAAACAAAAATGAGAAGACTAACATACTCTGTATTCATGGTGAAAAATTCATTCTCAATATTGTAAAGATATACAGTGATTGAATATAAAAAATAAGAAAAAAAAGGAACTTATGAGGAATAGGAACACCACACACGCACATGAAAATCCATGGAGAAGAACAAGGTCTTGGTGTTGGTTTGAGGATAATTTGGCGAAGATCTGGAGTGGTAAATATCTAGGGTGGGTATAAAGAGATACAGAGAGGAAAAGATAAGGGAAGTGGGAAGTGTGTTTTGGTGAGAACAATGTGTCCAACCCCATCGAACTGGGAACTAGGATAATAATACTGACTCAGAAAAATAAACTGGGGTTGACTGCACTTCAGGGTGGGAACAAGTTAAAAGTGAGCCATGTTCTGGGCTGTGAAGTTGCCTTTGATGTGACCTTGAATCACTCCCAAGACCCTCCCTCTCTCCATCCAGGGATTTTGATCTTTCCAGGGACCTCATATGCAAAGGGCACTTTCCTTACCAAAAGCCTTTTGTCCCCACAGACCCTAAAGTTCACACCTTAGCCTTCTGGCGTGATAAACTCTTTCTCTTATTGTCTTTCTTAGGGGCTCATGCTGTGTGCCTTCTTACCATGTCTGCACAGGATGTGGCAAATACTTTGGTTTGTGTGGTTATGACGGACATCACTGAATCATTTACCAGAACCTCCAGTATATGATTACCAAACTGGTGGGTCTTTCTCTCTCTCTGTCTATTTCAAAGTTCAAGGTAGGTTTGCTAACAAAGTGTTGTGTTTGAAAACCAATTTGTGTCTAAGAATTCCTTAGTCACCTCTGTCCTCCAATTTTGGTATGACATCTTCTAGCTGTAGATACCCCCTGATACTTAGCTTCTCTATTTTTGACCATAAGAACAGGAGCATCGTGGTAATGGAGTAGAGAATCTGACTATTCTACCTTCAAGGATTTCCCCACAAGGTACTGCAGAAACTTGCTGGGCTTCTGAGAGCATTTTACCAATGAAATTGTGACAGGATGACTTACTAAGGGATCCCTGACTACATATTCTCAATTTTCTTTATGCAGAATGATTAGCCACAAAATCCAATTTATGGTTGCAAAACTAAAGACAATTTTTAAAAAGAATTATTTAATTTTATTTATTATGAATATTCTTAAACTTCCTATAGGACATGTGCACACACCAGAGAGAGGAGAGAGAGAGAGAGAGAGAGAGAGAGTGGAAGAGTGAAAAAGAGAGAGAGAAAGCAAGCTGCCAGGTCCAGGACTCAAACTCCAGTTAGTCAAGGGGAGGTCCAGTGCCTTAACCACCATACCACCTACTGGGCCCACTCTAAACAGTTTTAAAGTTCCTTTATCTCAAATTTCTAAGTCTTGGAGACTGAAGATCTGTTGTTGGATTATGTTAGATTTACCAAGGCACTGAACTCAACCCTTGAGGCTTCTTACTTACCCCAAATCTATTTGCCACATCTCGAGTAGACATGGTAAGAAGTCTCACAGCATGCACACCTGAACAAGATGGTAAGAAAAAGAGCTCATCACTCCAAAGGCTAAGGAGTAAGCTTCAGGCTCTATGGAAACAAAATGCTTTTGTGGGAAAGGAAGTGGCCTTGGTGGGTGAAGTTCCTGGAGAGATAAAATTTCCAGGTGCAGGGGAGTCTTGATAGTAACCCAAGGTCACACGGAAGGTCACATCACAGTCCCTTTTGGGATGATATGCTATGACTTTGTGCGGCTGGCTATGAGTATTTTTTTTTTTTTTTTTTTTTAGAGAGAGATTTTTTCAAATAAGGCACGTGTGTGGAAGAGAGAGATACAGAAAGCAAGACACCACCCCCCAGTGGGGATGGCTATGCCACAGTCCCTTCTTTCTCATTCTGCTCTTGTGATCTTGGGCAAGCGTGCACATGCACCTGGAGTGAATTTTAAGCTGCTTGGTCTGGGACTCAAACCAAGGTCAACTACATAGGATTTCAATGACGTAACCATCATGCCATCTGGTGGTTCCCCTATGAGCATCTTGAATAACTTCACACCACTCATAAATGTTATGAGGAGTTAACTGAGTTCACTCCTGGGGAAATAATGGGGACTAGAATCAGCGGGATTAACATCAGTCTGCATCTTTTGGTTTAGCTGCTTCTCTAGAAATCTCATCTCAGTCTTCACAAGGGCAGGGAGGTCAGGATGTTTTCTTGTTCCCATAAAAGAATTCACAGGTAAGTAGGGGAGATAAACCTTGTCCCAAGAGGGTGCCCACCTAAGGCCCTGCTGAGTGTCCCAGAGGAGAGGGTCTTCACTGTGGTGTTCACTCCCAGATGACTCATACTGGGAAAAGATGAGTCAGGGCAGGGCACATCACAGCTGCCCACAGTGATCTGAGGCTGTCATCTGGTAGCAGGATGAGCTGTTTTAAACCTGTCTGCAGTGAAGGGGGGACAAGAGAAGGCAAAAGGCATAAATACTAATCCATACCTTACTCTGCTCCAAACCTCGGGTATGGGACTTACATGTGTTGTCTCATTAAGTTCTTCACATTCTGCATCGGAGTTATCATTTATCGCATTTTTTTAGAAAGAGATTTTTTTAAATATTTTTTATTTCAGTCTCTTTTATACAATCACATATGTCACTTAACTTGTAAAGTGAATGTTCCAATTTTAACACATTTCACACCAGTCCAGTTGGGAATACTATACATGTTATCTTCAACATATAAGAGAGATGTTTGCTATAGGGCACATGTGCTCTCCAGAGAGACAGAGAGAGACAGAGAGACAGAAAACAAGAAATCACACCCCCCCCCCGGAGGGATGGCCGTGCCACAATCCCTTCTCCTCCATACTCTTCTCAGGATTTTGACCTGCACGCCATACATGTAGTGTGAGATTTTAAGCCACAGGTCTGGGACTCGAACCATGGTTGACTGTGTGGGAGTGAGGCAATGTAACCCTTATGCCATTTACTGGTCCCTCATTTATCACATTTTAAATTAAAACAGACTTAGAGGTACTACATGATGTGCTGAAGGTCACATGGTTATAGAAAATGTGCACACACACACACACACACACAGGATGCATGCCTGCTAAGCTGCAAACTTTCCTTTCTACCACTCTTAGAAGTGGCAGAAGTCACAGTGTGGCCGATTTCAGTTCAGCACAGGACAGTGTTTTCACGATTAGCGTTCTTTTGGGGAATGGCTGCTCCACCTAGCCCAGGTGCTTTCTCTGTAGAGTGTTGCAATGGAGGTTGGAAAACATCTTAGTCAGGGGTACGGGGAAGCTCTCACGTGGGTGTGGGCCTGACTACTTTTCAGACCTTTGCATTTCTGAGCCTTTATCTCTCAGCCAGAAGAGACCTGATCTGGGGGTTAGGAGTGCTGGGCTCCTCTTCAGTTATGTGGCTCAATTGTCAATTGCAGGACCTCATTCTCCTTATCTATAAAAAGAATGTTGGACACAATAGAAGATTTTAAATGTTCTTAACTAAAATTGTTTCTTCAAATGGATTATGTATGTGTCAAGGTAGCTTTCATGTATGTACCTCTGTCTACATGTCTATTTGCTTTGTCTCTAAATATGTTTCTTTACATATGTGTTCTATATCTTTACATATGTACACACATGCATACATTTTAAAATACACAGATTTATATATGTACACTTTTATATATGATTATAAACATACATATATATACATATAGTTTGTGTGTTCATGTAGAGTCATTGTTTATTTTCATTTATTTTGATCCCTTTGTTTTCCCTTTCCAAACATGATTTTAGTGCTTCTTTTTCTGAGGATTGTTTTCAGCATTCAAGCAGAGGATGTGAAGTCAAATGTTCTCCCCTCATTATCTTTAAGATACTCTGCTACAGAGGTCTCTGTGGGTGACAAGACGTGAGGAAGCATACTTTGAGGGTAATAGGTAACCAGAGGAAGATAGTTCCCCCATGTGAACGTGGGTTTGGTGTTAGTGGTGTCTGCATTTTGGTCAGAGACAGTAATCCACTGTGACTGGACTTCACAGCAGCACCCCAGATTGATGTGAAAGCCTTAAAGGGGATGGCTTCTGGTCATGCCTGGCTAGACTAACCCAGGAATAGGTGACCCAGTATCGACAAAGATGACCACATATGTGGCCCCTAAGCTCAGAGCTTCCCAAATCTGAAGGATCAGTGTGGGCTTGGAAACTACGGGTGTAGCAGCAACTATGATGTCCTTCAGAGGACATTTTCCATTTTCCAAAAAGTTTTCCATTTTTTCTGGTACCATGTGAGGTCCCCTGAATCTGGAGATATTTAAAGAAGATAAGGAAATGTGGTTTCTCTTCCATGTCAGAGTTTATACTGAATTTTGTACCCTATAAATTTCACTAGATATAAGCCATTAAGAAATGGCTTCCCTGGCTGCATTTTTATTCCCTCCATTGCTCCCCCAACAAGGAGTAGAGAGCCATTCAGTACAGAATTGAAAACCTTGATGCCAGAAAGTCTCCCATTATTTCAATCCCCTGTACTGTAGCTCATTCTTAAATGGGACAATGTATATGAAAACTGTGAATTCTAAGATAAATGATTGCTCTTGTCCCCAAACAAGTTTATTTTGACTTGTGTGGAGTTCTCAGACAGTTCAGGCCAATCTGAGCAAACTGGATCAAAGAATGAGACTTGGGGGCATTCTGCTGAAAGTCCTTAAGATTGTAATGTCATTAAGGGAGGTGCCCATGGTGATCACATTTGAACTTACAGAGCCTGACACTCAGTGGGTACTCAGTATCTTCTTATTTACTGATTGATGGCAAAAGTAGTGCTTTCTAACAGTTTTTTTCCTTAGATTTTTGCCATAGGATGCATGCACTTACCAGAGAGAGACAGAGATAGACAGAGAGGGAGTCAGTAGTCCTTAGTTTGTAAGTGCATTGCTTCAATTTATTGTATCTGTTGTCAGAGAGTTCGCTTCTGAGAGTCTGTATCTGAATTTCCCTCTCTTAAAGGGATACTACTCATTGGATTGGTTTCCATCCTAATCCAGCATGACCTCATTTTCACTTGATTACATTGCAAATATCCTATTTCCAAATTGAGTCACAGTCACAGGTTCTGGGTGGGCATAAATTTTTGGCAAAGATTATTCACCCGCGTATAGTCACCTTAAGCTTTCCTCTCAAAAAGCAAGTCCAAGACAAGGATTTAGTAGAGGTAATTTATTTGAGAAGAGATTTCAAGAGATTAAAATGAGGGAGTAGGAAGAATAATGCAGGAAAAGAAGGGGATCCAGGAATGAATTACTGAGCTGTTTATTGTTGCTGGCAACTGGAGCTGAATCCTGCTGAGGGTTCTTTGAGGCTCCACATAGTATGGATTTCACCAGGGTCTTTCCAATATTTAAAGGCTTGCTCATTTACAGCCAATTCCCATCCCAAATTTATTGAAACTCTGTCTCTGGAGGTGTTAAGTCTACTGCACTTGTGGGCTGAGCCTGTTTGAACAGAGGAAGTTTCTACAGCTTTAGAGAATACCCTGAGATGGAAAAGCAGTGCCTGAACATCTGCAGTGCAGCTCAAGTCACAAGTGGGCTGAAGTGATTTGATGCAAAGCAAACAGCATAAACTACTGGGGCTATATTTGGCTGTCCATCCTATCCAGGTATGGCCCATGTCTGGTGGATTAGTGGTTAGAATCAGTGACCCAGATTATGCATCAATAAAAGGAGACATGTATGCAGTTCTAAAATACACAGCACAAGTTCCATTGTTCATATGCTGCATTCTGCTAGCAGCATTTCACTGACTGTGAAAATACAGTTACATGGATCCACAGGTGGTATGGTAGTTAAAACACTGGATTCCCACATGATTGCCCGTGGCTCAAGTCCTGGACCTGGCTGCTTGAAAATCACACCAGGTGCATGTTCCTGAGTGTCCCAAATCCTAAAAGAATGAAGAAGAAGGGATTACAGTATGAGTATGGCCATCTCTACTGGGAAGTGATTTCTCACTTTTCACCTCTCTGTCTCTCTCTGACAAGCACACTAACTCTAGTAAAAACTTAAAAAAAAAAGGGAAAGAAAAAGAAAAAAACACATTTGATCGAGCCTCAAAAAAGCTTGGAATCAGTGTGTTCAATGGAGCTCTGATCTAAGAGCAGTCTTTGTCTCCTTTTAATGGTGCTTTCTTCCTTTCACTGAGGTGCACAACCTCTGCTCACTACAAAAAAAGGAAAAAGAAGAAAGAAAAAGACCAAAAGAAAGAAAAGAAAAAGAAAGAAAGAAATCTGTTCAACCGTATGGCATCTCACTGCCTTTGCACAATGCCTAAACACTGTGACACAGGCCAGCCACAGATTCTTTTTTTATTTGCTATAGGGCATATGCACTTGCCAGAGACAAAGGCGGGGAGAGGAGAGGGAGAAGAAAAGTGAGAAAGTATCCCCTAGGAGGAATAAATATTCCCCAATCCCTTCCCCATTCTCCTTGGAATTTTCGAGCATGCATGCACATGTGTCTGGCATATTTTTCAAGCTGTCAGGTCCAGGACTGGAACAAAGCAGTTGGCCATGTGGAATCAAACCACCCTAACCACCACACCACCTGCTGGCCTCCTAGATTCTATTCTTAGCAGTATGAGGACATGACAGTATCAAGACTTCAAAAAGTTTGTGAAAAAAATGAATTTAGAGTCTGAGTTTAGTTTGGTGGAAAAAAACGAAATCCATGCAATTTTCTCATGATACTCATTATACTTGAACTTTTTGATGGCCCCTGCATGTTTTTGCTGTTTGTGCTGGTGGTGTTTCCTCACTTGTGGTTAAGGATTTATTCAGCCACCTCAGTTTAGTAGTTCTGTTTCTGGTCCAGCTCACCTGTGGTGCTGGCTGATATACATGATGCCTTAATAGCTGGTCTGGTCATCAGCAGTTATGTCTAGTCTGTTAGACCTTACCTGCTAAGCCAGCTCACTGTGCTTCTAAAAATAGATACCAGGGAAAGGTTCTGTAATACACTGGGTTGTTGGAAAAGTCATGATGCATTTTTATGTAGAAAAATACATCAAGACTTTTCTGGTGAATTAATAGTTTGTTATTAGGGATCAGGCTAAGTCTAATGGAGCTGTCAGGTCTGGTGTCACAGGGTCAGAAGAGCTTAGTTCCCAGAGCATGTGGATTGGAATAAACTCTCCCTAGCATTGTGAGGCTACCTGTGGCCTGTAAGCTAGAGCACATCAGGGCTCATACCTTCCTGCCTGGATTGCCTCAGTGCATGACCAACTGGCAGCCTAAGATAAAATGATAGCCATAAAACGAATAAACAAACAAAAAAAGTGGTACCTAGTTGTGCTGCTGGACAGGGGCCCTATATCCTGGTCCAGGAACCACAGAACAGCTTCAACCGTTTACTGCTCAACAAAACATAGAATGTATTTTGAGGAAAGAAGAATTCATGACAGTGTGACCCCACTGGCAATGCATTGTAAGAATCTACCTTTGATTGCTAAGCCAATTTGCAGATGGTTTTATAAGGGACGGGGGACTGCATGGAGATAACAGCTATCAGTAGAAAAGTATGGGTCAGGGCCATCAGGTAGTGTAGTGATTACGGTGCTTGACTCCCACGTGGTCTATTCCAGTTGGACACCTGAATGTGGCATCTTAAAATTCTCCACAGGGGAATGGTTATGCCCCAATCCCTTCTCCTCCATTCTCCTCTAGGGATTTGGGGAATACATGCACATAGTGACTTGTGTGCTTTTCAAGCCACCAGATCTGGGACTTGAAATATGCATTTAGCCATGTGGGACCCAGCTGCCTTAACCTCCACGCTACCTACTGGCATGGTGTATTTTAATTCTAAAGGCCTGAGTACAGCATGAACTTGACACTCTGGTTACACCCCACACTCATCAGGGTTATTACCCCAAACAGCATGTGTAAGTTTACAGTAAATGAACTGTGCCACTACAAAGGATTATAGATTTACGTGACCCCTCATCCTTCATTTCAGTGTTCTCCAGTTCATGATGTAAAGTGTAAGGTATATCCAATCAGATGTCTGTTATTTTATTATTATTACCTTATTATTATTATTATTGCTATGGTATATGTGAGGTTGAGAGCGAGAGTGAGAGAGAGAGAAGGACAGTGAGAAATCAGCCCCTAAAGGGGGTATGACCACACCACAATTTCTTCTCTTCCATTCTCCTCTTAGGATTTTGGGCATCCATGCACATGTGCCAGGTGTGATTTTTCAAGCCACTGGTCTAGGACTGCAACCATGCTGTAGGTGAAGTGGGATCCAGTCACCTTAACCTCCATGACACCTGCTGTCTGTGTTATTTTAAATGTGCCAGTGTAAATTCTTTTCTTTTTTAATTCATGATAAAGCATGTGCATATGCATGAGTAGAAAGAGAGAGAAAAAGAGGGATATATATATAGAGAGATGGACATGCTTCACAGCGTCTAGTCAGAGTAGTCCTTTTCCTTCAGTCCTCTTGCCTATCAGATCTTGGGCACTCACGTGTGTGCTATGTGATTCAAGCTAACTTGGCTGGCAGAATGTAAACTCTTTTCTTTTTTTTTTAAGAATTAAAAAAAATTAACTTTATTTATTTACTTTAATTTGACCAGAGAGGGGCAGAGTGCGGGTGACAGAGAGAGAAAGCAAGCTGTCAGGTCTGGGACTCGAACCACAGACAGCCATGTGAGAGTCCAGTGTCCTTAACCACCACACCACCTGTTGCCCTCCAGAATGTAAACTCTTAATACACAATTTGTAACCTCCCCTCATTGCCTTTCTCTTTATGACAGAAACCAGCCTTCTCAGTCACAGTTTCAATGAGCACATTTCTAGGGAACCAGAGGCTATTCATCTGGGTGACTTGTCCTAAGCCCTGGCTCAAATAAATCACTTTTTTTCACTCATCAAGTCTCAGTCTTTTTTTTTTTTCCCCTAGGTTGACGGTAACAACACAACATTAATTTTTACTCTAGAGGTGGAAAACAGAGTATGCTAGAAGGCAAAGACTAAGACAGATCAGGAACGTGAACAGATGGCTCTGGACACACGGCTGGTATCTATGGAATGTTGAGTTGGTGGATGAAAGAAGAATCAATCACTTCCACTCTAGAGATGAAAGTTTATTAATTCTGGGAACTTCCACACTGCTCTCTCCACCTGGTGTGCTTCTGGCCTCTGCCTGGAGAGAAGGGACAGATCAATCCTGGAAGCACCTCAGTCTGGTCCCTGAAGTCTGAACTGTCTCATTGTACTTCTTATCCAGGACAGAAAGCTCGAGATCCTGGTGTAGACACGTGGAGGTTTTCCATTCTTTTTTCCAAAGGAGACAATTCCCTGGGCCTCATTGTTACACACGAAAGGGCCTCCAGAATCCCCCTGCAGACAGAGAGAGAAAGGGCTGAGCTGGCCTCCTCCAGGTCCTGCTCTTCCTTCTGCCCATGGGTGGGTGTCTCTGTTAGGGGGCTGTGCATGTGATCAGGGCCAAGCAGACCTTGCCACCTCCCTTCACCTTGGGATTCTCTCCTGGTCCTGATGATTCTTTCTAGTTGACTAAGGCTGGACCTGTCACTCCTCCATAAAGTGGCTGTGAGGACAGCAACTATCCTATTCTGCCCCAGGTAGAAGAAACCAGAGACTGAGTTGGTTGTAAAGGCTTAGTGTTGCTGGGTATGGCTATTTTCCACTGTCCTGGATCCCCTCAAAGCTCTGTTGTGTCCAGGCTAAGCATGGAAAGTGCTGGTAATCTCACCTTAAAGGAAGTCTTCCTTTTGTTTGGGTCCCCCACACATATTTGGGTGGCTTTATTATAATGGTCTTTGTAGCGAGAAACACATTGCTGGTCCTTTTGGACTTCAAGTTCTACTTCATGGAGTTTTACTGTTTTCTCCTGTAGACTAATGCGTCCCCAGCCAGCCACACTGCATACCATCCCTGGTGTCACTTGCATTCTCTTGGGCAATGGGAGAAGGCGCACCTCAGGAGTCAACTTGGCCTTCTTCTTCAGCTGAAGACAGAGGAGAGAAGTTCTAATCTACTAATAGCTCAAAAAGATTTCAGACAGTTACAAGGTTTCCTCCTCCATGGCTCTAGGATGAGTGATATTGGAAAGAAGGTCATATTGGGAAAGAGGGATGGGAATGAGGTCATAAAGGTACAAAAAGCTCAATATAAAAGTGTCCAGGAGCCAACAGAGCAATGGGCCTTACCTGCAGTAACATAATGTCATTGAGGTGTGACTCAGAATCATAGTCCGGGTGGGAAATGGCCCTTGCCACATGAATGACCTGCTGCGTCTTCTCCTGCTTCATGATGTTGTGGGCCCCCAAGGTGACATTCATTGAGCTACAGAGGAAGTAAAGAGGGAGGTAGAGTCACAGAGGATGCAGCTCTGGGAGCTGTGAAGGGAAGTGCGCAGCCCTGGGTGAAGCAGGTCTGGAATTGAGAGGAATTCTAGAGCATGGGGCCTGGGGCAGAGTGTCTCATGCCCTCTGCCTATTGGGCAGCCAGGGCTGGGTGGAAGTTTCTGGAGCAGATGTCATGTGCTCAGTCATGCACAGAGCCTGACTGCCTCCAAGTGAAACAATGATTTTCTCTAGTCTCTACTCTGGGCTTTAGCACACATCCTTCCTAAACCTCCTCCCCACCCACCTTTGACAGGTTTGTTCCTTCTTTCTTCAACTGGCCACCTACATTCACCTGCCCCTCTTTTCCCAAAGTTTACCTGTCCTCCAAGGAGTTATTTATGTGGGGCCTATATGTGTAGCTTAAAAGAAAGCCACTCCCTGAGAAATGTTCATATAAGCTTAAGGACAATAGGCAGGAGCTCACCTTCCCCGGCAGTGAGCTGCTGTTAGCACGAAGTCCTCACGCACCAGGAAGCCCCCACATATTTTTGCTCCCTCTAGAGTCTGGATCCGAAGAAATGCCATGTAGGGACGAGAATGAGGCTTGGCTTCATGGCCCCCAATGATTTTCTCTGAAAGAAAAAGACTACCTTGCTTTCTGTGCTCACAGAGCCAAAAGCTGAAGAAGGTGACACTGGGATAAACTACAGAGGGAATGAGCCAGAGGAGATGTTGGATGGTGGGATCAGCAGTCACCAGAAGCAACCAAGAAGTGGTTGTCCTGTGTTCTTTGGACAGTATTTCTGGCTTGCAAAGTGACCTGTCAGGATTCAAATTCTTTCCCTGATAAAGGGAACAATTCTCTTCCTTAATTCCTGATTCAGACATTTGCTTTAACAGACAGAATTTACATTCGGAATAAGTAGTGAAGGTCTCATAGAGTCTGGAAAATCCTCTCTCTGAAGTTCCCCTTGTCTTTTTTCTCCTTTTGTTTCCTAGGCCCACTGAGCTTCTGCTGGTTTGTGATATTGTAAAATGAGCTTAAGATGTTGAATTGTTTTGGATCTTTATCTGCTAAAGCCTGGCACAAAATAGGTGCCCGGTAAATGTCCTGGGTGCATGGAGGAATGGCTCCCAATTAGCTCTGGGTGAGGGTTGGCTGGGGTAGTGCTGATGGGATTCTTGGTAGTGCTGATGGGCTGCCGAGCAGTTGGGAAGATGGGGTCTAACAAAGCCATTGTACCCATGTGTAACTGAAAATGCTGAATATTATAATATACAAAAACCAAAACAAAACCAAGCAACAACTAAAAAGGGACCAGATAAATGTTGAGCCTAAAGTAGGGCAAAAATAGATGTTAAGGGACTGGAAGTTACCAATTCTGAGATGAACTGGGCCTTAGATTTTTTTCTGGGGCAGTATGAGAATGACAAAATTTGGAGAAAGGTTTGGAGATTGAGAGTAGGTATTGACACTGAATTAGAAAGTTAGTGACCTTACATTGATTTTAGAAGACATCCTGTTTCTCCAAGTTTTTTTTTTTTTTTTCCCTTGGGGAATTATTTCTTATTTCCAGCTTCCAACATTCTCCCAAATGCATTTGTATAGAACCCATTTTCTGGATGACAAGGGCAGGACTTAAGGAGGGAATAGTACCCACTGGCTCTTATGGAGAACAGCCTTCTCCCTGTTATTCCTGAGTTTCTATCTGGTACCAGATTTGCTGGTCTGTGGGTGAGATTGGATCTAGAGTTCAGAAAGTTCCTGGAGATGACCCAGAGCCAGAATGTATCTGAGTGTATGGCATCTGAGCAGGACTGTGGGCTGGGGTTGGGAGGATATTTGTGGGGATGGTCACTCACCTGCTTCAGCCCTGGGGCACAGAAGGAAGGCCAACAGGAGCAGGAGTGACTGCATCTTCTTAGGATGGCTGCCTGGTCAGAGCTGCTGATGCTTCCTGCTTGTCTTTAAACCCTAGCGTTCTCGTCTGGTGCTGTAAGGGTAAGATCAGGTAAGATTATCTCAGTCTTGTGCTACTCTCTAACAAGCCCTCAGGCCCGAGTTTAGTAAGAACTTAAAAGTCACCACATAAGCACCCATAATTCTTGTTGCTCACACCAAAAGATCACATCAGCAGAAAACAGGAAACCCAGCTTAAGTTATAGTGATTGGAGATTTTGCACTGGCTGGTAGTAGGCCCTTGAGCTTGAGAAATCGGACCTTCATTATAATTAATCCAAGAATGCTTTCATTTCCTTGGCTCTCTTTAAAGTGATTGTTTATTGAGGACCTTATTTTTAGACATATTGTAGATGAGTTCCATTGGTTTAGTGGAGCCAACTTTTCTCTCAAAAAACAAGTCCAAGACAGTGATTGCAAGAGACTGGAATGAGGGAGTAGGAAGAATAATTCAAGAAAAGAAGGGGAGCCAACAGTACATTACTGAACTATTCATTGTTGGTGGCAACTGGAGCTGAATGCTGCTGTAGATTCTTTGAGATCTACATAGCATGGATTTCAGCATTGTCTTTCCAAAATTTAAAGGCTTGGTCACTCACCTGCCAATTCCTATCCCCAATTTATTGAAACTCTATCTCTGCTAGTATTAAGTCTTCTGCACTTGTGGGCTGAGCCTGTTTGAACAGAGGAAGTTTCTACAGCTTTAGAGAATAACCTGAGAAAAGCAGAGAGATGGCTGAGTGCCTGGATAGCTGCAGCACAGCCCAAGTCGCAAGTGAGCTGAAGTGATGTGGTGCAAGGAAAAGAGCATCTACTACCAGGGCTATCTTTGTCCTTCATGCCAGGTATGGCCCACATCTAGAGGTAACCGCCAGATCAGATTAGAAACAGTGACCCAAATTATGCATCAATAAAATGTGAAGAGTATCCAGTTCTTCCTCATCACAGTACAGTCTGCTAGCATCATTTCACATGATTGTAGAAAATACCCTTGATTTGGGTCAGCAGGAGGTGTGGTGGTAAGGCATTAGGTTCCCATATAGCCACCATGGTTCAAGTCCTGGATCTGACAGCTTGAAAATCATGCTGAGTATGTGTGCATGCCAGAGAGGAGAGTGGAGAAGTAGGGCTTGCATCAGGTCCATTCATAATGGAGTGATTTTTCACTTTTTCTCTCTGTCTCTCTCTGGCAAGTACATTCGATGGCAAAACTTAACAAACAAACAAAAATTGAAAACATTTGATTGAAGCTTTTAAAAGCTTAGAATCATAGTGTCAAAATCTAGGTGAAGGCTTTGTCTCCTATGGAGGGTGCTTTCTTCTTCTCTCTCTGTTGCACATACTGTGTACTTAGAAGAAAAAATAAGAAAAAGAAAGAAAGAAAAAAGAATGAAATAGAGAAAAAGAAAGACACCTCCTCGGTCACATAGCATTGGCTTCCTTTGCTCAACACCTAACCACTGTGTCACAGGTCAGATTTAGATTCTTTTTTTTCCTGGTGCTATAAGTCATTTTGTCTCTGCACTCACCAGAGACAAAGACAGAGAGAGAGGGCAAGAGAAAAAGTGAGATAGCACCCCCAAGGGGAATGGACACACCACAGTCCCTTCTTTTGCATTCTTCTGAGTATTTGGGGCAAGCACATACATTTGCTTGGCATGTTTGTCAAGCTACCAGGTCCAGGACAGGAACCACACAGTCAGCCCTGTGGGATTCAACCACCTTAATCACCACACCACCTGTTGGCCTCTTGGATTCCATGCTTGACAGTATCAAGACTTCACAAAGTCTGTGGAAAAAAAAAAAAAAAGGAATTTAAAGTGTGATTTTAATTTGGCTGAAAAAATCGAAATCATGTCATTTTCTCATGATACTCATTATCCTTGAATGTTTCTCGATCCCTGTACATGTTATTTATTCACTGTGTTATTGGTGGTGGTGTTTCCTCACTTGTGTGGTTTAGGATTTGTCCAACCACCTTAGTGTAGTGGTTCTGATTCTTTTCTGTTTCTGGTCCAGCTCACCTGCTGTCCTGGCTGATGGACATGATGCCCTAAGGTAGCTGATCTGGGTCACCAGCAGATATGGTGGCGCGTTAGACACTATCTGCTAAGCCAGCTTACTTTGTGCCTCTGAAAATAGATACCAGGGAAAGGTTTTGTAATAGTTTGTCATTTGAGACCTGGCCAGCGGTCTGATGGAACTATCAGGGCTGATGTCCCAGGGTCAGAAGAGCTCAGTTCCCAGAGCATGTGGGTTGAAATATACTCTTTCTAGTATTTTGAAGAGACCTGGGACCTGTAAGCTAGAGCACATCAGGGCTTATATCTTTCTGCCTGTCCTGCGTCACTGTGTGACCAATCAGCAGCCAAAGATAAGAGATAGCCATAAGAGGAATAAAAAGCAATGTGACCTGCTTATGTTGCTGGACAGGGGTCTTATATCCTGGTCCAGGAAACCAGAACAATTTCAGCACTTTGCTGCTTGACAAAACTCAGAATGTATGTTGATGAGTGAGGAACGGAGAATTTATTACAGCGTGGTATACTGTAATTCATGTAAGAATATCTTTTATTTGTTAGCCAACTTACAGGTGCTTTTATAAGGGATGGAGGATCCCACAGGGCTAATAGCCTTCTATGGAAAATTATAGGTCAGGGCTCCAACAAGCAGTATAGTCATTAAGGCTCTGGACTCCTACATGTTCGCCATGGTTTGAGTCCCAGATTTACTATCTCTTTGTCTCTCCAGTGAGCACAGGTGCCCTATAGCAAAAAATCTAAAAAAAAAAAAAAAACAAAAAACAAAAAAAAGGCATAGATCAGGGTTCTTTTTAGTTGGAGATATAACTGAATGATTTCTTTTCAGGTTACTCTTTAGTTGGAGATATAACTGAATGATTTCTTTTTGAGGTAGGAATTTTAGTTTTGAGCTGTGGTAAAATGTCCCTAATTGTTTCAAACTCCAGCTTGGTCCTTTGTCTCCTTGGATGGAGTTCCTATGAGAAAACTCAAACAAAGAGTATAAAAATGGGCCCAGCGGGTGGCTAAGACACTGGATTCCCACAAAGCCAACTGCAATTTGAGTCCTGGACTTGGCAGCTTGAAACTCATGCCGGGCACATGTGCATGCGTACCCAAAATCCCAATAGGAGAACGGAGGAGAAGGGATTGCAGTGTGATCATTCCCAGGGGGATGATCCCCGGTGTGTGTGTGTGTGGGAAGATCTTTCCCTTTCTGTCTCTCTGGCAAGCCCACAAGTCCTATAGCAAAACAAAACAAAACAAAAAACTCTCAAAAAAAAAAAAAAAAGAATAAGGCTAAGAGATAAATGATTTTTGATATAACAAGATGGAGTCAGTCTAGCTAAAGTAGGTCCTATTAACAGTCTCTTAGCAGCGAAAGGTACCTAGAGAAAAGTGTCTGATCTTTATCTAAGTAGTTTAAATCACATAGCCTCTTTACCTTGGGCCTCTATTTTCCCAGTAGCCACCTCTCCCACTGCTAGCAGTCTGAGAGAAATTTCTAGGGCACAGGCTTCTCACTGAACCACATCCCTGCTGGTAGGCAGTATCTTGCCCTCTAGTAGGCAGTAAATAATGAGGATGCCATGAAGAGACCTTTCTGTTATTGTCTATAATATGTCTGTCTGGCTGTTGTAAACCTATTTCTGCTGTGCCCAATAAGTTAGGTCCAGAACAGCATCTGTAGAACTGAAAAAATCGACATAAGCTGATTTCATTTTGTTGTTTATTATTAATTAGATTTCTTTCTTCTCTCCATTCCTCCCTTGGTCCCTCCCTCCCTTTCTCCCTTTTTTCCTGCCTTCCATCAATGTAATTTTTTCAAATGTTCATGAGGTTGTTGCAACCTTTACTCACAGAGCTTATAGGTTTCTTAGCCACTGCTTATGAATTGCAAAGTATGCTGGGGCGGGGATGCCGCACTTCCATCTTCAGGCTTTTCTTCTCTCTGGGCTCCTGGCGGGCCGCCTGTGTCCTTGTAGTGCTCTTCAGTGCATTCCTATAGATGTCTAAACATTTTTTCCAAGGTTTCTAGATGGTATCAACAGTAACTATTGCCCCAAACAATCTTTAGACCATATAGTTGTGTGTGTACATGTTCATTGTACTTTTCTTCTCACTTTTAAGTATGATTTAAATTTCCTTCTTTGGAAGGGATAGAGAAGTAAGGAGTGTTGATGTTATCATGTTGGGAGGTTTCCCAGGTAATTGACATATGTTATTTCAGTTAATTCCCATAATCTTTGGTAGAAGCTACCGTTAGAACTTTATCTATTCAATTTCCATTTTAAAGATAGGAAACAGGTTGAGATACATTAAGTAATTTATTCAAAGGTACATAAAGTTAGAGAGAGTGGGAACTTTCCATTATTGTATTTCTATTATATCACCCAGTTCACCAAAGTTGTCCGAGAGTAGGTTATTGGAAAACCCCAGAGGCTTCTATTGCAGGGAGTTTTCTGAGCAGGGACTGGAAAGTTGCATGACATAGGTGTCAGATGACCATGAAGGCCTCTGGCTCTGAGGAGGATCCTGAAAAAAGCTCTTATCCTAGGCTGAAAAATGGCCGACCCAATGTCGAGAGGCCTGGGTCAGCCCTGGCTGTGTGGCTAATTGGCTGTATGATGTTGGGTGGGCTTTTTCAGATTTCTGGGCTTTTGTTTTTACTTTCACTAAGGAGACCTTGAGCTTGTGAGACTCCTTTTCATACATTCTAGCCACAAAATTTATTCCTTTACATAAATGCAGCATCTAAGCTGAAATAGAACTATATAATTTTGCTCTGTGTATTTTTTTCTTTTTATTCTAGTCAAAAAGTCGAGTTTCTCTTATTCTTCTGCCTCATCAATTTGTTTTCAGGATCAGCACCAGAAGCTGTGTGCTATCCGGTGCCCCTCTTGTGGTGCTTAAATAACAGAGAGATTATGCTGCAGCGTACCTTTAAGGGTAAAGAGCTGAAAGGAGAATAGTCTGAGAGTACCATGATCAGAGAGAGAGCTACTTTTCCCAAGTTAAGAGATGATAGGGATGGGCCAAAATGTGGTATGGTGGTCAAGATAGATGGATGCCCCCATGGCTGTCT